CAATGGTGCCGCATTGACCTTCGTTAGAGTTGGCGAAACCATCAGGATTCATAGACGGCATCAGGTGAATCCTCGTGTTATCAAGCAGCCATTTTATATATGAATCTGTTTCATAAGATGTAACCAAGTACTGAAAAAGAAAATAACAAAAGTCTATATTTAATTTGACCCGATCGAAACTGGTACAGAAAACTTCATTTAAAGGCTTCTTTTTTAATGCGTATTGCTTTGCAAGGAAAATTCACCTATTGGATTACTTCAACGTTATAAACCGAATATCTTATACATTTTATTACAAACCTGTATGAGATGTAGCAGCAGCTCCCGTCCGACGACCTCGTTACCATGGATGTTGGCCACATATTTCACATCAGGTTTTCCGATCATGTGCTCATAAGGCGACGCCGAAACAACCATCACCCACAGGTCACGACCTATAACATTAGCTTTTTATATCTCTCATGCTTATATTATATATGTATTTCGTTACAATCTAAATAGAAAAAATTTCCAGTATACACAAAATTCACATTTCGACCAAGCCGACGAAAAGAGTTTAATGTTTATTGCAATCCTTTAGAGTACCACATTTTGTTGGCTAATCGATTTGTTGCTAATACTAGATAAACGCGTTGGATTTAAAAGAAATGTAGGTTTAAATTTTGGGGTAACTTTTTAAATTCTTTCTTTTAGGACATATAGAATGTATATGTACTTTTATTTCACAATAAAAAATGCAAGTGATATTTACGAGGTGCAAAACTGCTAAATTTCTCATACCTTCCACAGATTTCCCAATAGAGTAGAGGGCAGTGAGGGCCGGATACTTCGCCGAAACCGCCCGTAGGTACCTTGTGAGTTCCTCATGGTCGTGATAGCGGAACTCCAGATCAGAACCACTCTGACGGCCTTCTACATCACTCAGATTTAGCGTGGTATCTTCATCTTAAAATTAAGAAAAAATTGTTCACGCTATAAAAAATAAATTACGAGATCAAGCGACCAATTTTCGACGTTCAAGACGCACCCTACTAAGTAGAAACACTTATTGAGATGTACATGTGCTTATAATATTACAAATTCAGGATAGCGCATGTTGAGAACTGAACAAACTTGGGAATTAAGCACTCGACCTCATGTTCGGTGAGTTCCATGCTGTCCTTGAACCATTACAGTATTCGCGTTTTAGTAACACATAATAGAGTCGAAGCAGAATAAACGAGATTCCAGTCCAGATGGACGACCTCCATCAGCGTTAAACTTGGGTAAGAGATAAACCTCTATAAACGTGAAAAATATCGCGGTCCCTTGGACTCTTGCTTATCCAGGTTCGACTATAATCCTGCACTTACTAGAATATTGGGTGTCGGGGATTTGTCCGTACGTTGCAGTGAGCAGTAAACCAAGCGTCACTATTCTGGTTACCACGGTTCTGGCCATCTGTGGAAATGATAATAATTTTTTCAATAAGGTAGTGAATTTTCAATACTTCGCACCATTATAACGGTCTACGCTAATTCGATGTAATTTAATTCAAATAATTGTAGGTAGTAAAAAGTTTTAGAAGTCATCGTTTCCGCAAGGCTGTGAAAAAGTTACATTATAATGTTAAAAATTAACTTATAAATATTTGTGGCCTTTCTTGACAACATGGCTGGCTGTTAGGCTACTTTATTAATTCGTATACAATCATTATATAAGTAATAGGCCAGTAAACTCTGATATATGTAGCTAGAAATCATTTTTTTTTAGTATTCATTAAATAATCCTACTACATTATTTCAATTGGGTAATTTGTATGCAGAGAGTTATCGCGCGTTGATTAACATTGCTTTCTTTTTAATGTTATGTTTGGGAAGTAGCGCGTGGGCTACGATGAGGACCGGTCTCTGTGAAGGTCACTCGGTCACTGGACGCCGCGGACACGTAACCTCTTTACAATTACGACGCATCATTAACCACTTGTCAAAGATTAAAATAATTAAAATTTTTATTTGACAATATTATAAACTGCAAATGACCATATTCGTGTTGTTAGACCGAATCACCCAGGAGCACTGCGACGGGTCTAAAAGGAGTCTATGTCGACACAGGACTAAGTATAGGTGAGTGTAGTCGTTTTTAATTACAAAGCTCTTTAGCACACCTCCGCCGCGGAACTGTATTAGCGGAACCGTGGTAATTTCGCTCTTTAATTAATTAAATTTCTGCAGTTGTATTGAAATTTATAATCTTACTTATATTAAAAATGCGGAAGTTTGGATGTATGTATGAATGTTAGAAGGTCGATATTTGGTATAATTATACATACAACATAGTAGAAAACCACATAGACTACTAATTAAGTTATTTTTTAATTGCGCGCGGTGGCTGTCGCAGGCGACAACTAGTAAGATATAAATGTCGTAAACATAATACGTGTTTTCCCTTTACTTTGACGTAGGTATTATATTCTATAATATTCTACATTAAAAAAATTAAATGTCAAGGTATAAATATAATATCATATTAAAAAGTTGTTTTATTTATTTTTATATATAACTAGCTTTGTCCGCCACTTCCAGCATTTTGATTATTCTGGCCAATTATATTACTTAAAATATTACAACAAAACTTATTAAACTTTGAATGTCACATTTATTTATATCAAATTACCAGCGAATAAGTTTCAAGATTTTGGCCTTAAAAATATCGATTCTTCCATACAACTTTTTGTTCCCACTTTTTACTTTTTCGCATTAGCAATTCCCTCGATTTGCGGTCGACAGGTAGTCGATTTATAATTGTACGTTAAAACACATATGAATCTTCTCGCAAAAAGGAAAATCCCTGGGAAACCTAAATCCAATAAAGAATAAGGAGATATAATAAAATATTATTATTAATCATACATGTGTTCAGGTATATGCTATTTTAAAATTTATGATGTGTTTTAATGTCATATTGAACAACAGTGTTGGACCGTTGACCCTATTGTAGGTGATCCGGTAACGGTACTAGCTTTCGTTTTCTCATACCGATAAAAGTATAGAAACTAGACAGTAAAATCATTTAAGACTAATTTAAAATACAAATATGTTTAATGCGAATAACATTAACATATTTGTATTTAACAGTATTAGGTATAAGAACCAAGAATTTATTTCAATATTCGTAGACTTAAAAAGTAAGGAACATATTCATCTACATATTTTCAGAGTTTTTTTTCTAGTAGTTTCTAGAGTTTTAATTATAATACTTAAATTGAGGAGAATCCCAAAAAGTTTAAACATACGCTTGTAGATTCCACGGATTATCAAATTTTAAAAAAATTAAAATTATTATTGTTTTTTTACTGTGTTTTGTTTATCTTTAATTTGGTATAATTGTGAATAATGAACGCGATAAAAATTGAATCTGACAAAAAACAATCTACAATAATAACGAAAAGTGAAAAGAGACAACTTGAAGTGGTATTAGCATAATTCACGTCACGGACAGAGTTGTTCACTTTTTCTTATGTGAAAGTTTGAAGCGTGCAGCGAATGCGACCACTGAATCTGCACAGTATAAATGCCAAACTCAATGCCAATGTCACCCCCATTCATTCAGTGAATCATATTAATAAGATTCATTAAAAAAAAATTACCTCTGCCGTTGCTCGAATGTCGGTTTAACCCTTACGTTGATGTCTGTGTGTATTTTAAATATAATAAAGCAAATTAGTATAATATTTTAACTATTAATTTCATAAGAATTTTAACAAAGAACCTAATCTATCCATTAATTTAATAAGATACATCGAAACCAGATACAAATTAGTCAATTCCTCGAAGGTAGTTAGTTGTACACTAGAAGTCTACATCATTTTCCTTATTGAGGTAACTTAAGACTAAACTTTAATTTTATCGAAAAACACTTACCTTAAATCACAGAACTAAATACACTGGATCAGTAATATGTCAACATTGGTACAATCACGTTTGTGGAACACTCGGAATACAATTCACGACTTTTTCGGGGATAAACTTTGTAAGTGACTGAGGTGGAATGTATAGTCCTTGTGGACGGACGGACAAACCTCGACTGGCAGCGCTGGCCCGTGCTGGCGGCAGCTACTGCCTTGAACGAGGCTTCTGCGTCATTCGAACACGCGCGCGAGACTTTAGTGCTTTCACTCTGAACGAAATACGCTAAAATTGTTCATACCACAAGCTAATAAGGTTCAATTTATAACAAACAAAACTTGGACCTGTGTATATTGCATTTTCTTCCCTACACAAGAGTGTTATAGAGGCAAGATTCGACACACGCGTGTTTTCCGCGATAGCGCAGCCTTCACGGCGTCCATCCCATCTGGCACTTTTCCCGCGGATTGAATATCTCAACCCGATATTTATTACAAGAAAATTCCTAGTGAAATTTAATAACTCATGTCATTGACTCGACGCCACCATTACTTCCTGACAGTTATGTGGAGTTAACTTTAAGTAGTTATATTACTGCCTATTGCTCAGTATTTTAATGTGAAATTATTAACTTTAGTCGCACTTTGCACTAAAGGTGATTTTATGATAACCTACATGATACTTCACTCTCAATCTAAACATGATAACTTTGATAAGTTGACCATATGTAATTTTGAACCAAATGTAACGTTTAATTTTGAAACATAATTAAATTACTTTATAAATATTTGTATTTTTGTTTACAATAAGTCCAATTTCATTGAAGACTTTGGCATCATATACTATTGTCTTGTTCATCGAAAAGAAAATTTAAATATTATACATTTTTCTATAATTTAGTGACAAGAGAAAGAAGAAAAACATAAAATGTAAAAATACCTGTTTTGATTTGCGTGATTCCTTTATAATAAGTACAAAAAATGATAATCAATTTAATTGATACTGTAGATGCGACAGCTTAGATGGATTTTTCTTAGAAGGTCCGTCCAAAACTACTAAAGGTATCTCCCTGGAAGAACACTTCTACTTCTACTTAGTACATTTTTTTAACGCTGCGCGAACGCAGTCGCGTGCAATACAACTAGAGGAAGTGAAAATCAAATAGACAAACATACAAGCCCCAATACATACGAACAGGCGAAATGTGGCGGCCCTAAACAAATGCGGCGAGGGTCATGAAGACAAAAATTACCTATCTTTGTTATGACGTTAGACCGATACCAAACGGACTCAGAACTGGCGATGCTTCAAGTCAAACTTTTCTTTCAATTAATTATCAAGCACTGCATTTTCAGTTTGCCTATGTCATCAGTAATACTTTAAAAAAATATTATATAATATTATTTTGCAATGTTACGCTAATGTGTATGTCATATCTAATTAGCTTATTTGGTGTACGATATTTTAGATGACATGTTTTATTGACTTTGTGATAACGTTGGTGAAAGGCGGATAAAGCTTATATATCTTTTTATCCTAGTATTAGGAGAAAAAGTCTTGTGAGATCGCATGCATAAGTTCCCCGTTTCATCTCAGATCATTAGATACGTAACGAAGCGTATCGAGATGGAGACGTAACAATTAAAGTGAAATTGTATTGTGTTTGAAATACTTTCACTATTATTGCCCTAGCTATTTTTGTGTCTTTAAATGCATTTTTATTACATCAAATATTGTAAATGTCACAGTAATAAACCTTTATTTTACTGTATAGGGCCCGGTATGCGAAGAAATCAACATACTGAAGATACATACATACTCGTATATTCACTAGTCTCCGTTGTCTTGACGAGCTGTTGTATGATCATAGTTAAATATTATTGTGATACAGGGTTACAAGTAGCAAATACCTTTTGCAAAATGCCTATATTTAGCAATAGATGGCACTTACACAAATGTGCAAAAAAAATAATCAAACACATAGAAAAATACTTCTAATCTGTAATTAACATTGTAATTTTTATCTATGTTGATTGATTTTACTTCTTATTTCAGATTTATTGGAACTTAGAGTTATTGAATACTTAGGTATTCCATAACTCTATAGTTACAATCATAATTTACGCGTACCGTCTACTTTCTTGGCTTACCAGCTCCCAATGAAAATAAAAAAGTCAAAAAACTCTGTAGATCTGCCCTTACCGTGTCTCATCTAATATAATGGACAAAGTCAAGCGTGGCCTCGGAATTTATCTTAAAGTGGTTAAGGCGAGGCACACCCAGCCTCTTCATTACTACCAAATTCAGTCAAAATAGCGGAAAATAAGAAAATAGTACAATCGTTTTGAATTAAATTAAATCTTTCTTTCTTTCTTTCTTTCTTTCTTAAATAGAAAATGTATAATAGGATAAAAAAATTAAGTCATATTCTGTTTTAAAAATTGCTTTATTTAGATTTGTGCCCCCTAATTAAATATTTGTAACAAATTCCACTTAAAAAAACACTAGTTATGGTTTATATAAGGCGTTGTATTTGTACACGGTTTTATAAAGTATCTGCATCGTTATGTTAATAATAGAAATAGTTGAGGAGTGGTAGAGAGGTGTCACGAAAAGAAAGTCACATCATTAGCTGTTTTTATATTTTGGAGAGCAGCTTCCGGGAACCCTTGGGATTTAAATAGATACAATATTGACCTTGAATGTTGCCAGTGACGATTGCTGCATCTAGGCCACTGAAGATGTTAGATTTAATGAACAAAACTGGTTTGAGAGCGAGGACAAGGACAGGGGGTGATGGGAGGTGATGAGGTGAGCGCATGCGCGGAGCGTGACGTTATATCGACTATTTGCACCCTCCGGTGGCGGTAGGGTTCCCGCGCATGTTGATGCGCGCGCAGCCGCCGGCCGCGGGGTCCGATCGGTCCGAGCTCTCTCCGGGACCCCATTACGTAACTAAAACGCACAGAAGGGCGCACAAACAATGTGATTTTATTTATTTTACCAGTTTTTTCTACAGTTTTTAATTATACAATTTTAGGAATAGGTGTCGCGCGACTATTAATTACGTTTTTCTTTCAGTTAGTTTTAATGTAGGATAGTATAATGTCAGTTTTTATGTACAGAGTCTGTGCACTTTTGCTAGACATTAACGATTTCGTAAGCGCATTTTTCTAATCTAATATAAAAAAACGAGATTGGCAGTATAAAATTTGTAATTCATAAAATAATGTTTTTGGAGTTTTAAAGTGACTTGATTCGGCGATAGATCGGTTTACAAAATTTATAATTAATTAGTGGGTAGTGTTATACATGTAGTTGAAATGTTTTTCACCTTACTAGCCTATGCAATGTTGTTACAAAAATACAAAACATTATGAAAATTTCATGAAAATTTTCAAAATCTGCGTAGGCTGTTGTGTTCACGAAAGCTGTAACAATACTTCGCAATCATGACAATGGGTAAGCGAACATTTTTATGCTCTATTGTTACCTAAGTATAGCTATGTTTGTTATTTTATCTTCCATTATTTATAAGAATCAGTTGTAAATATGTTAAACAACAACCTTGCGAGTACAAGAATGTGAGCCGTAAGTTCGAAATGCTTTTGGTGTCATATTTTTACACACGGTTTTAAATGAGACAAAGAGTTCGTCAAGTGTTTATATATTTATGTGCAATATTCGAACTAATTTGTAAATTTTACCCACTTTTAAATGTTTTAAATAAAATTAAATCTTAAATCCTGTCAAGTTTTGAATAGCAATAAGTTGTAAAGTTACAATTGCTATTGCGTTTCAATTTCAGTAAATATATCGTGTAGCCGAGAATCACGACATAACAAATCCGGGGCTAATAAACTATATAAATATATCAACGTGCTATAGATTAAATATAATTTAGCAGCGATAAAACAAGCTAACATCTTGACGTTCTTAGGTATTGTCAACAGCGCTCTCGAGTCATGGCTTGAACGACGCTTGAAGTTTTCATCAAACCTAGCTTGAAATCTAAAGTAAAAATATAGATATTTTGCACAACAATAAAGCAGCATACGCACTGTTGTGAAAATATATATCGGAAATACATAAACCTTAATACTAGAAGTAAAATACATAGTAAAAATTTAAATATTTAAAAAATATACTTTATCTTAAAACAGTGATTAGTTTTGCAGTCCGAGTATGGGTCTCTTTATTATCAAATACTACATCTATGTTATTTCATTTCAATACAAGATCAAATATAAATTTGAAATGAAAATGATATAAGAAATCATGTTTATTCCAATCTATTTTACGATCTTGGTTGTTCTAGAAAGATTCCCAGTCTCTTTGTTTTTTTCAATAATTCATTTATAAACACCTATGTAACAGCTTAACCCAATTTAAATTACAGGTCACATAATAGGCCTAGTATTTAATTTGGTTGTCGTTAATGAATGACGTAACATAGTTTATACGAATGGCATCGAAGTTTTGTGTGTGGCGCGCGCAGTTCTGTGGCGCGTTTCGAACAGTAGAGCGCGCTCGTGCGCCGGCTGTATTCAATACTACGAACATTTTATTTCCACGACTTTTCATCAACAGTCGTGTAACGAAATACGGTATACCGTTTCCTTCATTAAAACAAATGTGTAATACACCTCCGTGTTGCAGTATTTCCCGCGCTGTTTTTATTTACATCGCGAGTTTTACACAAATAATACCTT